GTTCGACGTCCCTCTCCTGCGTAGTGCTCTTGAAAGCCCCAATGCCCTCCTCCCAACTCACATACTCGCCGTCTATGACCAAGACAGCGCGCCTGGCCCGGCTCCAAGCTCATCACTATTCCCATATACAACGGCTGTACCGTCGGGCCCTTCCTCTCTCCCATCCACGCCACTTATGATCCCAGTGAACGCCGACTTATGGGCGCATCACTTTTCTTCAACGTTGTCATCGAACCACGTGCCTGTTCCCCTCCCCTCCCCTCCGCCTCCCATCCCAGCATTCGATGCCATGCGCCGCCATTCCCGCACAAGTTCCGTTGCCTCATCATCATCTTACACGACCAACAACCCTTCTCCCTCGCGCTCGCGGCCCCGCGCAATCCTTTCGCTGCCAGTTCATGTTATGACTGTCCCCTCGGCGAAGTCGCTTCCGCTACTTTTGTTAGCCAGCTTGGGAGTATTGCCAAGCAACAGCATGGCGCCTGCTCTTCTCCCGCGCGCCGTCCTTGTCGAATTTCCTTCCTGCCCTGCCATTCTAACTCAACATCTTCTCAATTGGCTTTATCCAACAATAAATCATTGGCAACGGAGGGTCAGAGACGATTCGTGTGGGAGAAGCAACAATAGGGACATAATAATTACTGCAGAGATCCAGGAGCGACCGAGCTCACGAAGACCTCGGCCGCCTAGCAGCCAGCCGCCCTTATCGCCTCTTCTTTCTCCCGCCTCTAGTACAAGCGCAAGCGAGTCGCGTCGGTTTTCCTCAACCTCGGCGTCATCGTCCACTTCCATCAGTTCGAACCTTTCGCCAGCCTCGCCCTTATTCTCGCCCTTGCTCTCACCCCCGGAGCCCATCTGTGCGCTCACGGACCCTGCGACTGCGGACGACCCGGATATGCGCCTCCTAGCGCTTGTGCAGCAGAACTTCGGGTTGTGGGCGAACGCGCTTGCACTCGGTGTGAAAGACACAAGTGTGGTGCAACTCGTTGAGCTTGCATGGTCGGTCTCTGTCGATGCGCGGCGCCTGCGCTTCGGCGACCCGACGGAAGGCGACAGGCGGAGCCAAAGAAGTCGAAGCCGGACACCGCTTTAATATGTCTCGAATTCATCCTCGGGAGCGTCCTCTACACAACGAAGAAGGTTTGGAGACCTTTAAAACATCCTAACGTGGCACGGACTAACTCACTTATCAAGACCAAAACACTCGTATCCTATCTTTTTGCCATAATACTGTCGCTCAATGACTTTTCTCCTGCATTCTGATGAACATTTATCGGGCACTGTCTTCTTACTTATTACAAGACCTCTAATTCTGCACTCCGACGACTCTTTTCTGTTCCGCTTTCTGTGTTGCCAAGCACTCTCGCCTGATTACTTCTTCCATTGATATCACGCTTTCCGCTCATTGCATCTCTACATTATCTTGCTTCTTAATATTACCTTGCTTTACTATTTGCATAAAAGTATATCTTTATATAATAATATTCTAACACTGGGAGGTTGGATGAGAAGGGCTCATGCTTTTGTCCATTTGATGAAACTCGAATTCTCAGGACTGAGTTTTGCATGGAAAGAAGGTTTACATGCGAATACGTTTCACATTACGAAAAAGCGCATCATATAGGATCTCATTTGTGGTACACATCGAAGAACAAGAGTACTGTGTGCGTAATCAAAAATGATGGGCAAGTGTAAATCACTATCGTGGTACAGAACCAAAGAGGAGGTCAAGCAAAAGGCTAAGGTGGTAATAAAAAAAAGAGAGAGAACGAAGCAAACGAACGAAACAAGTAATAAAATAATTCATCAATCTAAGAAACCGTTCGAGTTCGCAACAAGTTTCTGAAATATGGCGTCCAAATCCAAGCTCGGGCTGCTGTCTACTGTCTTCACAATTTGACCGATTGATGGCGACAGGCATTTGTTCAAATTCGCGGCATATGCGACCGAAGCTGGCGAGTGCGCGGCTCCGCGGTCAGAGGTCTGATGAAGAGGCCGATAGAGCGACTGCGCGCCAGATCCAGGATGCCATTCCCTCGCCATCCTTTTCTCTTTTGCATCCATCGCTGCGCTCCTTTTTGGAATCGGTGCCGACAGCGGCTCCGCACGCGGAGGAGCCAGCGGAGCAGAAACGCCGTCAATGCTCTCTTTCGATGCCGCCGACAAACCGGATGCTGCAGTCGGTGCCGTTGTGAGGGCAGGAATAGACATATTACTCTCCGCTGCCGACGACATGATCGTACTGGCGATCGATGGAAGAGAAAGAGGCTCTGGGAGTGGGAAGTCGAGTCCAAGTCCAAGTCCACTATGTTCAGGCGACGGCGACAGCTGAAACGGAGATGGCATATGTATCAGTCCTTCTTCGTTTCCGAAACCATTTGCGTGCAAATCCGGCATCGTCTTGGAACGACGAAGGTCTATTTTCTTCTGCTTGCTCGGCGTGGATCCAGTACTGAAATCCGCACTAGAACGCCCGTCCTTATCCTTGTCAGACAAAAGCGCAGAGTCTTCATGGCCCGCCCGAGAAAGCATTTCCATAGCAACTGACAAGTCGACTTCCTCGTCGTCAGAGTTAGAGACCGACAGGAAGCTTTGCATAGATGCGACGCGGACAGATTTTTGCGACCCACGGTTCCCCTGCGAGGCTTTTTTGTTGCTTCGCTCGATCAGCCAACGAAGTCCCTTAATCTCCCTCTCGCGGCAACGTGCTTCCTTCTCCAGCAAAGATATTTGGCTTTCGAATTGCACCTTCTCGTGCTGGTGTCTTTGTATGATCTCCAGCAAGTGTCCAGCAAGTCGATCGAACCGTGCACACTGTATATCCAAAGATTGCTGAAGCTGTTGAACAGTGACCGCGGACCTGTGCTCGATGGTTTCCTTTTTGCTTCCATTTTCGTCAGGATAGTTTTGGGGCGAATCTTGGGTAAGGACAGATCGTTCTGATATACGGTCTAGGCGACCGACGTCGTGGGACTGAGTTCTTAAGCTAGAACCGGCAGGATAATAAAACGATTTGGAGTTCGCTAGTGCGTTTGCTTTTCCGTAGGTTGGGGATGGATTAGGTCTGACGTAGAAAGGTGTCGAAGGAGAGGCATTTTTAGCAGAACCAACAAGAGCTTTGCTGACAGTCGAGCACCGATGTTGATCGTGATTGACGGCGCTAGAATCTTGAGCAATCACGTCTTTATTCTCAGTTGACGACGCCGTCATCAAAGCAGAGAGAGGGCTTAGTGATTCCAGTGCAAAGGGATGCACGATCTTCTTTTTTGCGACGTCAGAAGAGTTGAAAGCAGCAGGATCACTAGTTGCGAGCTCTTCCGAAGAAGCGCGCAATGGAGGCAAATTTGAGGAATCCGGCTGAGGTTTGCTCAATCCATCTTTGACGAAATTTGTCCCGCGATGATCGGAACGTGGAGAGGACAGGAAACGATCATCTCCGTGACTCGCCTCGTAGATAGACTCGTCTTCGCTATCGCCCACTTCGACACCGAGTTCCGTTTCTAGGACATTCGCAACAGAGAGCGTCACCTTTTCGTTGCCGATTCGTACGAGGCAGGTTCTCGGCCGTGCAGGAGGAAGACCGGGACTAGAATCAGAAGCAACGCTAGTTGAAGCAAGCTTCAAAGGGGAACCCGGCTGTTGTCGTTGACTGCCTAGTCGACTTCCTGGAGATCTGTAGGCCATGTCAGGAGAAAGAGAAAGAGACGTAGCAGGGCTTGCATTGGCTGGAGATTTGGTAATTGTTGCCTCAGCTCGTGATGTAGTCGGGTGGCGTTTGTTTTCTTGGCCAGTTGACTTCAAGTCAGCGTCTGAGAGAAGACGGCTGCACCTTTGGCTAGGAAGTGTGACTGCTGATCCGGCGGGTCCGCAAAGAGATTCATGAGAGAAACTATCCGGCGAAGCAAAGCACAAGTTCGGAGGAGTGGGCGCGACGCGAGGAGAAGTGAAGAAATCTTTGTCTGTGCCTAGGTCGTGTCCTTTCGTATCAGAAACAAGGTGCGTGATTTCAGGGCGTTGGGATGTTGGAGAAATGGCAGACTTTTCAGGGGTCTTGAACGACGATCGAACTTTTGAAGTTGACTTGAGATCCGCGGAAGAGTAGCGAGAGGACAACGCAGGGCGGGATGTAACTCGAGACAGAAACGACATTTTAGGCTTCTCTGCGCGTTTAGTTTGCTGAACCGATATTCTTTCCGGCGTCGAACTTAGTGTACTCCCAGAGGAAAATATGGTATGCCGCGCATTCAGGGGTAGGTTTTTCTGAGGAGTTGAGTACGCTGAACCTAATCCAAGCTTCAAAGGAGAAACGTTTAGCGTTGGTAGTTCTAGGTTTCCAGTAGAGAGCGATCCAGCTGAGGAAACAAGGACGGAAAATCAGTCAAACTATACCCTCACATAAGAAACTGCGGCATACCCGCTCCAAGAGAAGATCGTTGAGCCATCCTCGCGGCTGTCCTACAAGTGAATATATATAAACGATCAACGAAAGACGCGAAACACCATTTTTTACTCACTCATTGGCCAGCTGCGTAACGGTTTTATAATGAAGCCCACGCCCGCTGTTGTCAACATCTGGCGGTATGCCACTTGACGAGAAGCCGCTGGACCTCAGCGCAGCCATGGACTTCCTCCTCTTCCCAAGGAACGGTATTATTCGCATCTTGCTTGAGCTTCGAGCATGGCCCAACTTTGCCCCGTGCTCTGGTTCCCCTTGGTTGTATGCGGTGGCAAAAGTCGAAGAAGTATGCCGGCTGTCGGATCCAACTGCATCTGTAGAGTGAGACGGCTTGTGTGATGAGCGGCTGTAGAATGGAAAAGACATTGGAAAGGAGAAGCTATCGCGAAAGGGTGAGGGTCTTGAACAGAGCAGATATTGGTCGAAGAATGTTCATCGCGACCAAAAACCAAACAATTAGCGAGATTACCTAAATGGCAGGGGACGATCTTCACGTGATTCTTCTAATTTCAAGAAATACAACAAAACTCGAAAGCACGTCACAAGGTCCTACCCGGAATCGAACCGGGGTTACAGGAATCAAAGGGAAATAATGACAATCAGAATCCTGTGTGATAACCGCTACACTATAGAACCTCTTGGTATAAGTATCAGTTTACCATGACAATATACGATGACAGAGGCAAGCATCCCTCACGCTCTAAAAGCTTCTGTCCGATAAACAACAGCGGTTTTCATAAGTTCATTGAGTTGCCTGTGCGGAGCGTAAGTAAAGCAAGTCGAAAGTTTTTGCGTCGGTCTCATTGTGGCCCAGAACATGCGTTAGGGACTTCCATAAATTATCTCACTAACAGGATTGTTACGACCGTAAATCGTTGCTCATCTTTACTACAGAGATTAACCAAGCAGAACAGTTAGTGCTTATTTACATCTTTTTCAGTGCCCCAGACCTTGTTCGATGGACATAGCCGTCGCACCATGTACTCACGAGAAAGTGTGTGGTTTATCAGGTCTCATTGGAGTTTTGGGGGGTTTTTTTTTTCATACACTTAGTGTTGGAATTTCAACTCCCACCTCTCCAATTCCCTTCGACATAAACCCATTCGTTAACCCATAGTGTATTTTCACGAAGCTAAACATTTTTACAGAAAACTCACATTGAAAAATCGTCTATGTAATGCAGCTTGGGCTTCCATGTGGATAAAGTGGAACAAAGGCGGTGGTAAATGACTCAATCATTTGTGGCTGACCATGAAAGGCTTGAAATTCATTCGTAGGTATCTCGCGAGAAAGACCTGCTTACAACCATACTGAGGCCCGACGGCATTGAACTACCTTGCGATTTTATCTCCTTTCACGAGTCGGTACTCATACCATTTGACTGGATTCTATCGATTTACATGTACAGTATGTAGCCGCGCGTACGAAGAAGAACCAGAGACTCGGCTAAGGCAAAACGCGGCGGCAAATCTAAGCGCGTCCAGCGGACTGGACGCGTTGATAAATCATAAAAGCCATAGACGACGCAGCATTCCAAGGTTCACCGCGCCCCGCCTCTGCTTTCGTGCTATCGCCGCACCATAGTGCGTACAAGTATGCCTTTTCCACAGAGCACTACCGACGCCGATGCCGACGCCGACGTCTACGTCTATGGAGCCGACGGTCACGTACAAGAACTTGAGTACGACCTCAACGCGCATTCCAGTGTAAAACCTTCGCTATTCGCCCTACGGACGTCTACATCACTCTCCGACCCACCTTCCGCGAAAACTCCGCCCGGCCCAGCGTTTCAGGCATTTTTCTCAAAATATGCACGCCGCAGCCATGCTCGGGGAGGCAACTCGCGCTCGGACTCGGTCGACACGACAGTGACGGCAACCTCAACCTCAACCGAGCAGGACATCGAGCTTGCTTCTCTCGCGGACCGAGCCCGGCCGTTTGTGAGTGCCCACACCCACGCCCGCTTCGATAGCTCTACATCCGTGTCCACGGTCTCGTCTGCCGCGACTTCTGTGTCTTCTGGGTCCTGGTCCTCCCCATTGACCTCGCCGACTTCACAGCGGCCAAGCTTCAGCGGGGTGATTCCAGCGGCCGACACCGACAGCGAAGCTACCGGCGGCGCAAATTCGGACGTTTCACCCTTCACTTCTATGTCACCCCGACTAGGACACGCACGATATGAGCATCGGATACACTTACCCGTGCGTGGGCAACACGCAGGCGAAGATGAGGACTACGATAGCGAGCGCGCGGACGCCAACGTCGATGCGCAACGCCTTGTCAAATCTGGTACGTACGACTCCTCTTCAGCCTTGTAATCCTCCATACCTTGACCTACGGACATCTGCCCAGACCTTCCAATGACATGTCAACATCGCCTCGACAGCGCACGCTCTTCGCCTCTCGAAACTGACAGCCTGCTGCGTACCGGCGTACCCCTTGGCGCGCTTCCCTTGCCAGCAACATCCACTGATCTGAGGCACAAAGTCCGGATGTCGTTCACACTTTGGGAGACGGGCGTGCATGTACTGGGCGTCGCGGTCATGGCAATCCTCATTGTGCTGTCCTTCTGGCTCACGCTTGCTAACATCGTGATGTAAAGCATGGACAATCGACTTCGCTTGGATTCGCATTGGTTCGCTCGGTTTATCCGACTTTGGATCGGTCGCGGCTAAAGGCCTAAGGAGGTTGATAGAGATGACGAAGAGACGGATATATACCCACTAGACACGCTTACAGGATGATTTTTTCCCTTGTTTTACACATGGGTTTCCTAGTCATTTGCATGTATCTTACCGATCATGATCATAACGCGGAACGTTGCTCATCACAGCAGCTTTCAAGAAAATAAGAAAAAACCCCATTATATGTACATATACGTACATGTACGTAAGTAAATCCGAAGGTGTCCTAATTTCACACGCCATTGTCTCGTCTCGTGCGCCGCCGTCCTGCTTCGTCAGATCGGCCGCACATTCCGCTCAACACACTGCTCCTGACCATATTCGTGAACGTCCGTGTTTATCTCAAACACATACAAGATCTCCGAGAGAGCTTGAATACCAAACGAATCAATGGCACCACCGTCTTGCGAGTCGATTCTGCACCTGTACGGCGCGACGATGCGTACCGCGCGCTCGTTCAGCTCGTATAACTTCCGCGAGTACTTTCTCCGGCGCGCAAAGAGCACCTTCCGCGAGATGCAGGTGCGTTTCACTCTCAGTTCACCGCACCATCTATGTAATAAATAGAATCCTGGACATTTAGCGTGAGAAGGATGCGAAGCGCCTGACGATGATGTACGAGAACGCGGTGAAGGAGCACACGGTCTTGCAGCGCGGCGCAATCGTCAACCGACTCTACGGTGGCTGGCGACTCGTAGTGGAGAACCAGAAGCCAGCACGCACCAGGGGAGACACATAGGACGAAGCTTGAGAATCGGGAGTGTCTGCTGACGCTTGTGGAATCTGAAGAATTCTGTGACGCAAGTGGTTCTATGTTGAAAGGCTTACAGTACGTTCGAGCTTTACCCTCGATGGGATTGCGAGGAAGGGGGGAGGGAGGAGGTGAAAGAAAAGACAAGGCGCCATTTATATGTTCGTACTGCTATGTTTTACTAGAATTCTAATTTCTTTAATTTCACGACTACGCGGCCGAATGTTCACTATGCACCAGACTAGTTTGACTAAGAGCATGCCTTTCATTCACATCAACTGCGTGGAGAACCCATTTATTGACTGAGCGGCAGTGTACAGAACTAGCAATGCAGAAGAGAAAGGAATAATTCACGAGAAACACATCGATAAAAAACCAGAAGAGACCACAAAATATTATGTATGCAGAGCCTTCCTTACTCACGCTGCACCAATGCAAGGAGCCCTAGTCCGCCCAACAGTGCGTACTTCAGTTGCGGATAGTCATTCTGCGAAGCAAAGTGAAGGAAAGTTAATTGCTGATCCATATAACGAGACGAGCAACAGTGCTTACCATGGCAATGGTCACGTAGCCGATGTACGGCATGAATCTGCATCCTACTCTCAATACGAGCCTCCATCTGATTATTTTTGAGTAAATACACGCACCCGCCGACTTTGCCAATGATGTGCCGCTTTTCTAGCCAGGCGAGCCCCTGGTATAAGCCAATGTCGTCACCGAGATTGTTGTCACCCTTTGTCAGGAGGAGCTGTTTCTGCGCGAGAGGCGACGCGGCCATGTAGCTGCAGGGCACGTAGTTCCAGTTAACGCGCGTTTCACCATCTTTCTGGTTTCCGGGGAACGGGTGGACAGCGTGGCAGGGAAAAGGAAGAGAACAAAGCAAAGGAAACAAATAACGGAACCACATACTCATCCGACACAACGTCTCGGGTCTCAATCACGCGATGCACGATCGGGATGTCGCCGCCCGGTATCCTGTATACAGTAATGTCGCCTGTCTTGTACCTCTGACTTGTAGGGTTCGTGAGGAAGAGCAGGTCGCCACGGTAGAATGCTGGTTCCATCGAGCCACTGCATTAACATGACGAACAACGGGCATTCCGGTGATTTAGAATATAGAAGAAGTCCAGATTTACGAAGTCAAGAGCATTGGTTTAGAGTTCATCTCTCCTAATTGCGAAGGCCAAGCGAGACACACCTCAAGACGACAACGATGGGCGACTCGGTATTGCACACTAGCCCAAGACCCTTCCAAATCATGAGACCTGACGCGATGACGGACGCGAAATTGAGTGCCTGAAGCAGAACCTAGAATGTGCAGAGAAACAGAGCAGATGCCCGTACAGCTTCAGCCTCTTTATTATGGACAGCAGAACGATTTGCGGAGGTGCAGTGAAGTGAATGCGAGACGTACGTAGCGCAACCCGAGCCGCCTGAACGTTTTGAGCTCCTCCCCGAACATCCTGGGTCGAAAACGAGGAGAGCAGGTTCTATAAACACGGCAAAAGAGAGAAGCGGGAAGAGAGCTCAGGAGAAGAAGCGTATCTATAGTATTGAAGTCTGAGGACACGGAGAACACGAATGCCACGACCGTGACACGCTCGTTGGGGGAAGCCACGTGGTCTCCCGAAGACCGTCTCGGTTCGCACGTAGATCGCAGTAAGCACCATGACGCTGAGTTCCGTAGCATGTCATGTCTCCTCTGTTCAATCCCCCATTCAGAACAGCTGTATTCTGGCCTGCTTCACGCCTCGTTCTGTAGGCGCCAACTCATTCAATTACTCTTCTCTGATTTTTACCATGCGACAATTCATTCGCGTTCCCATTCACATTATCCTTTTTAGCACCTCACGCTCCTCGAGAGAGGCAGAGCAACCTATGCTCTGCAGACTATCACCTACAAGGCTGGGATTGTCTTACGACAGTATCAGGAACCCATCTCCATCCGCCTCGCATTCAGCTTTTCATTTGCAAGAGCCTCAACCTGATGTAGGCTACTTGAAGACGAGAATTTGCATGTTATGCAGCAGCATAGTAAATTAGCGTTAAGTATGGAACTACGAGGTGAGCGCTAACTTTGTTTCCGGACCTTATAATGGAATTAAACATATAATCACCCAGCGCGGGACACTACCCACTTGATATTAGGGAGACCGAAGATGAGCAACCTACATACCTTGCATCAGCCCTTTTTGAGCCGA